ATTTTTAATACATTTTAATATATTTTAATATATTTTAATAAATTTTAATAAATTTTCGGTTGTTAAAGACTCCAACAATTAAACGCACAGTTTGTTGGGTTGTTCATTTTCTAGTTAGCTAAAATGCTTTTTTAAAAAAAAAATAATTAATCTCTAAAAGGATATTTAATAAATAAATGAAAATAAAATTAATGGACTGTCAGAGCGAAAAAATTGAACGACGAACATACCTCGCGATGAACCTTCGAATTTTCCCTAACGCTACTAACAAGGCTGGGTTTCCACGGCTCCGGATGACGGCCGGCGTCGACGCCACCGGAACCGGCAACGGCATCGCCATGGCCACCACCGCCGCCGCTATTGACCTCGTTCTTCAAATAAAGATTTATAATCTTCTCCGCGATTTCTCCTTCATTCCGACTCTCCTCCATCAATTTAGCGACCTGCGATCTCGGAATCTTCATTTTAACCTGCATCGGGCCGCTATGGAAGCGCGGCTCAGCAGAGGAAGCAGTGGCCAGTACTGGAGACGGTCTAGTAATAGCGACCTCCGACATCGTCCTACGCGAGAGCATGAGAAGGTCGAGACGATCCTTGGCGGACATATTGACGCCAGAAGAACGAACTCGCCTCGGAATCCGCTCTGGCGGTTCCGGATTGGTGATCTTCGGTAACTGTAGAAGAAAATAAATCTTCTTCTTGTTCAAATCCTGTTGCGGCTCTAATGGCTTGGCCTTCACTCCGTAATGCTTAACAGCCTCCGATTCCATCAGAACATGATCCGGATAATCTTTCAAAACCTCTGAAACTCGAATCGGCGTCTTCAATTTCAGAATCTCTCCGTCCACTTTCATTACCTTTACTCTCCGTCTTCCCCCAATACTGTTCCCCATTTCCCCAATTTTCCCTCGATTTCCGTTTCTTTCTGTTTTTGCCCAATAATTTTCCCCCCTTCTCCTCTTCTCTGTCTATCCACATATATATATATATATATATATATATTCTTTTTCCGGTTATTATTATTATAATATTTAACTATATAAAAAAAAATTGTTTATTTTTTATTATTTTAAGAATATTTTTAATCGAATTAATATTACATTAAAACTATAAAAATTCGTTTAAATATCAGATAACGTCGGTTAAATATAAAATAATGACACTCAAACGTATCGAATTTTTCATTAATATATTAAAGATAATATTATAATTTTTAAAATACGACGAGTATTTATATTTTTTATTTTTTTATTTTTGGAAGGAGTGAGCATGAAAGTAGTTGAAATAGAGGGGATAAAATTTGAATAATGAAAAGAAGGTGTGAATTTGTGAAAAATCGACGAAGATTCCGGGTCAAATGTATAAATATATTAAAGTTTTGATGAATTAGTAAATATATAAAGAAATTAAAAAAAAACACAAAATTAAAATTTTGGGACCCATCACCTTCTTGTAATTGCAGGGTAAGCCAAATTTGAATTTCACTCTCTTAATATTAATATAATATATATATATATATATATATATATATATTATATTAATAATGGGAAAAGGCAAATTTGGTGGGGTTATATAAATATTTGATTCTTTTCCTATGAAAAATCAGTTTCTGGAAAATAAAATTCCTTTTTCATTTTTAATTAAGTTTTGACATAATTTTTCAATTTCATACCGTATTAATTTGATTAAATCTTTGAACTGTTCGTTTTAATTTTGAAGCTTCTAAGAAATATTTCGGGCATAAAATTAAGATATTCCTGTTATATTGGATGGAGAAAACAACAAAATATTTTTTATAATAGAGAAGTTATATTTTAAAATTTTGAATAATTACAAAGTAATAATAATAATAAGATTAAATAAAATTTAAAAAAAAAAAAAAACATGTTTTTTTTTTTTGGTTGGGTTTGCATGAAAGTAAGATAAAGGAAGGAGGGCGGGCCGCCGGGTGTGCAAATTTTGACTTGAATTCCTAATTTAGGAAGGAACCTTTTCACATAAAAGTTAGGTCAGGTACGGACTATTCTCCCATAATTGCCCAAAAATATGTATAAGCTAAGCTCGTATGCTAGAATAGAAGTTCTTCATCATAAGGTTAGGAACCACGGATTTTTACAATAGTATGATATTGTTCATTTGAGCATAAGCTCTCGTGGTTTTGCTTTGAGTTTCTCCCAAAAGCCTCGTATCAATGAAGATTATTTCTTACTTATAAATCTACAATGATTCCTTAAATTAATCAACGTGGGACTCACTTCCAACCATCCTCAACATTATTAAATGTGAAAGTAACGTGTTTCTCTCTCCTGTATTTCTCTCTCCTGTATGTTTTTTTGGTCGAGCCTATAAATTATACTTAAAAATCAGTATAGTTAAAACCGACTTGAAGTTGAAGAAAATGAATCTATATCGCGTGTGTTTTCTTCATTTTTTTTTCTCTCTGATGAGGCTCTTCCTTGTGATGGAAGCTTATGGCAATACTTGATGGTCGAGCAAATGTAATGATATGAGTAGTTAATAAGGAAAACTAAGAGAAAAGCTCAAATCTTACTACAAACTTCGTGCAAGCAATGACGATTAAAACAGTGGAAAAACCAGCACGAAAGACCCCGAGCTAGTTGTACGACTTCAAGTGATGAGGAATGAGATTACACTTAGGCTGCTGTGATTTGATGGTAAAGAAAACTATCGATGATAGTGTTTTTTTTTTTTTTTACCAAGACGAATGTCTGATAGCCAATGATTAGTTACCGATGAGACTAGTGGTGGTGATGATCTTGAATGACAAGGATCAAGTAATTTGGTACCCATTAATTCTAAACATTTTTTTTAACCTTAAAACTTATGATTCAAAAAAGATGGAAACGAAATGATATGTTTATCAAATGGAGATTTAATTTTCCCGTTCGCTCGAGGAGACATGCAACCTAATTTTGACTTTGTAATATGGCCTAATTAAACACCATAAAAGACAAAAATCCAAAATTTAATGGGAATCAAAGAACCGAAGGTACCCAAAGTTTGAAACTTGGAATAATTCGAACCAATCCGACATTGTGGCACCAACCGACTTCAATTCTTTTACTTTCATGCATGCAGCTCATGTTAAATCTCCAACCCATATGAACACTATATATATATATATATATATAAATGCTTTCACATGATAATTGTTCAATTTGTCGGTCCCATGAGCCAACCTCTTCAATTGTCGTAATGGGTCTATTTACTGATAATCATTGAACGGTTGTTAGAAAATTTGCATGTCTCTTAATACCCATTAATTATAAACTTGAAATATTTTTGTAGTTTTTCGGAGTCAAATGGTTAGAACGTTAGAAGTTAAAAATATATATATATATCATTTCAAAAATTAATATTTTAATATATATATTAGACTCAATGAAGATTTCAAAAAAAGTCATATCATTTGAATAAAATTTAGTGTATTATTTTATTTGAAAAAGAAAGTCAAAATCTTAAAAAAAAAGGGTTGAAAAAATATTTTTGAACAAATACGTCTCAACAAATAATTATGAAATAAAAATAAATTATTTACTCCAAACTGGTTTTTTTAATTAATTAATAATCATTATAATTATTATAATATAAGTTACATCTTTTGTCTTTTATAAATAAATTAGATTTTCATATATGGTTGAACTAAAAATATATAAAAAAGGCTTTCTAACTCATAATTAATTTAATTAATCATTATTATATATATTTTTTCTATTAGGAAATGTCACGACACCGTTTTGCAGGATTGCTTCACAATAATTATGAAAAAAGCTATAATAAAATATTTTTAAAATAAAAAATTTATATATTAAAAAATATTATTTTAGTGATCCGTGTATATATATATATATATATATATATATGGAGGGAGAAATAATTGGAGTAACTTTTGGGTAAATTTATTACTCGAAAGTGGCCCATTTTGAATATTCCATCAATAAAATAAATAAATAAAATAAAATAAAAAAAGAAAAACAGTAGCCTGGTGGGTACATATCATGATCTTCGATAAAATATTTTTAATCCACTCCCTTTGGGGCCAGCATCGAGGAACAACGAGAAGGCTGACACATTGTCTGCTAGGGAAGGTTTTCAGAACCTTATTACTAAGAGAAGGTTTCCACACTGTTATAAAGGGTGGTTTGTTCTCATTTCCAACCAATGTGGGACATCACAATCCACCCCTCTTCCGGCCCAACATTCTTACTGGCACACTGTCTCGTGTCTACCTCCCTTTGGAGAACAGCGAGAAGGCTAGCATATCGTCCGGTGTTTGGCTCTAATACCATTTGAACAATATCTGCTAGCGGTGGATCTGAGTTGTTACAGAGTGAATGTAAAATATTAAGAATATTAAGAGTATCGGAATCGAGTGGTTTTTTAATTGTTTATTTTATTTCCACAAACATTATGGCATTGACTTTGTTTAGTGTGGAAAATTAGAGAAGTAACATAATATTTTTGTGGGGTCATGTCATTTACTACTTTTCAAAAACATTATGAAATTTTTATTATTCAATTCTACAAGCACGTGGTATTCTTAATCTTTCCAAAAAACAAAAAATAAAAAATAAAAATGTACGTGGTTTTGTTTTCTAAAATGTCCATGTTTTTTTTTATCCATCAACTTTAGAAAATACATAATAATAAATAAATAATATTTCAAAAGTTTTAAAAGAAAATGTATAAATTTATTTAAAAAAAATATCCGTTGAATAATATCTTTAAACTTTTAAAAAATATATATAAAAAAATATATTTATCATTAAATTTGTATGAAAATCGCTAATACTTTGTTTTCAAATATTTCAACGTCTTTTAAAAGTTGATGATAGACTATTTTTTATTTTTATTTTTAGATTAAAATGTTTTTTTTAATTAAAAAAAGGTTTTAAAAGTGTTAAAATATTAATATTTTGTAAAAGATAAAGTGGAATAGTTTCCCAACTCCACGGTGACGTGTACTACTGGGGGTGGGATCGTGTACCATACGCAGTAGTACACGTGGCGATCTTACTGATAACAATCTTCTTCCTCCTCGCAGGAGAAGCGGCATCGAAATGGCGAAGTTTTCGGTTGGTGGAGAGGAAGACGGGGAGGACGGATCCAGTACCAGTAGCCCTAGGGCGAAGAGGAAGAGAACCTCTTTTCGCATCAACGCCGTCGTTAATTTTCCCCGGCACAACCGACAGCGCGAAGAAGGGGAAGAACAGGGTTTCGATTACTGTAAGGAAGAAACTGCGAGCGATGAAGAGCAGAGAAAGCGCCATCGAATTGACGAAATAGAGGAACAGGTTGGAGAGGACGGTACCGAAAAAGCGCTCTGCTCGGTTAAGTCCTGCTCTAAAAATGTGAAGGAAAATGGCTCCATTTCGATGTTTTTGATCGACCCTGAAGTGTTGGATTGCTCCATTTGCTGTGAACCCTTGAGTGTCCCCATCTTCCAGGTATGTTGTTTTCAATAATCTCCGTACTTGTTCTGTTCGTAATTAGTTGTGATTTTGTAGTTGACTTCGCTCTGATTCCAAATTGGCTTTTCGTTTGGGGGTTTTCCATAAAGATCAGGTAGATCCCAAAATTGAGTTGGGTTGGGTTGGGTTTCGTTCGATTGAACCTTTAATCAAATAAGATGAAATGGAAGCCATTAGTTCGTTCGTCTTGTAAAAACTTAAGAACTGCTGGGTGGATATTTGGAAGAAGCGTTGATATCCTCAATAATCTTCTAGTAATTTAATGCATAATCTATGTATACGTGCTCTGTGTGAGGATGAAAAAAAAGGATTGTTAGCAAACCAGATAGGTGGAGTATCATTTCTGTACAAATGTGAGGGTCAAGCAACAATCGATGAACCAAATATACCACCATAACAGTTATGGTTGAGAAACGATACTCGAACTAGAACTAAGAACACAGGATCATTGAATGGAGGAGATTTGGCCTGTAAATGAAGCAGAATTGACATAGGAGTTTTAAAGCGTTTTGCTCCAGTCATGCCAGATTTTTCAAGCAATTAGGTTGACGAGGCATAATGTTGAGAATGCCCGTTAAATTGGAAGGAATAAGTTCGGCAGTGGATCACAAAATCTTGGCGATCTTCCCTATCTAATGAATTGGAGTCTGCTTTGAAATTGTTCGCCTCCCCCCAGTATATGCTTCAACAGGAATTAAACAAGGGTAGATTGATACAATAGAAACCTCTGGTAAAATGCCCACCCGGAAGATAAAGTACATTACATAGTCCATTTTAGGGTTTGACGACTTACCCATTCAGTGACTTTGGCATTAGATGTTCCAAAAACGCTAAGTATTTCAAGCCCAAGAAACTACTTGAGTTAGCCAGGATCAGAAATCTGAATCTCATAGGTTATTCACCCTTCAGAGTAGTAATATATGTGATATCTGAGCTAGTAAAAGTGATACCATTCACATTGAAGAGAAAAGATGAGCCAACCAAAGACAGCACTAGAGATGTGTCAGCAACCAAAGCCACAAAACCAGGAGTAAGCTAGTAGGAGGTGAATTTATCAAACTAAGCATGTGAGGCTTACTTAATAGTAGCTTTTATGCAACACGTGCACGTAAGCAGGAAAACTTTTCTCAACAGACTAGGTGGTTGAGTCATAATTCATGTATGCCTCGTTTGAAGGACGATAAAGAACGACATTCTTAACATCTAGTTGAGCTACTGACTAATTAAAACAGATATCAAGTGTAAGAATGACACGGTTTCTTAATTATTTGGCTCATCACAGCCATGGCCCTCCTGCGAACGCCCTTCATCTGTAATTTCTTTAATATGTTGAACATGATCAGTTGTCTTATTTTGCCTCCTTTTAATGGAATAGAAATCATAGAGAAATTCCAGAACATGACCTTTGTTACTACTACTTTTAATATGTTCAACCCTTTGTTACTAGTCGATCAATCAGTTAACATCTGCTTATTCCTGTTGAATTGTTCAGTTTTGGTGTAAACTGATTGCTCGTGCTCGCTCTTTAACCTCTGCTAATTATTTCAGCTATATTTCACATTTCTACTTGTGTTTCAATAGATAAAGTGGTCATACAGTCGGCACGAGCAAGACATGATCGTCTAACAATTAACTGTTTTGTTTTGTCATATCATCAATATATCAACCGTTTCCTGACTTGACTAGATCTTTATCATGATTTCAGTGTGAGAATGGGCATATTGCATGCTCTTCCTGCTGCAACAAACTTAAGAATAGATGTGCAACCTGCTCTTGGCCTATCGGCTATAATCGTTGTCGGGCCGTGGAGAAGGTTCTTGAATCCATTAGACTACCCTGCAAACAATCAAAGTACGGATGCAAGGAGATAGTTAGTTATGGTAGTGAAAGTGACCACGATAAGAAATGCCTACATGCCCCGTGTAAATGCCCTCTTTCTGATTGTAACTTTGTTGCCTCATCCAAGCAATTATCACTACATTTCAGCAGTAAACATACAGACTCTGCTATCAGCTTTCAGTTCAGTTCTAGCTTCACCATTTGCCTAAACGCTAACGATAATTACTGCGTTCTTCAAGAACAAGGTGATGGTATCCTTTTTATTCTCAGCAATAGTTTTGATCATCTGGGAAATGCTGTTAAAGTTTGCTGCATTAGGCCTCCTTCCTTGAAGGAAGCATTTTCTTATGATCTACGAGTAGAAACTCAAGATCTCTCACTAGTTTTACAATCTTCCATGAAGAACATTCGATCATCATCAGATTGCTATCCCTCGACGAGGTTCCTTTTGATTCCACGCGATTTGTTCAGTTCTTCAAGCAAGATCAAGTTGAATATCTGCATATGGCAAAACACCGGTGGTGCACCGTAGATAAAATGCGTCGGTGAGTCAACAAGTAAATATCGTGCTGTTTATATGAATGTATATATGTCAGTGTGCATATTGTGTATATGTCATGGAAATAAGGTCAGTCTTAGAAGCTCAGTTATGCTGCATAATTTGTATATAACTGCAGTTTCCGATTTCGTAAGTTTATTCTAACTCGTTCGGTCCGTGGTCTGGGAACTCTGTTGTGTTATATTACCACTACTTAATGAACTCTTTCAGATGGAACCTGTTCGTGTTTGAAGTTTCTTTTGATTTTTTTGTTCATGTTATCCAAAATGTTCATGATATCCAAAATGTTCATGATATCCAAAATGTTCATGAACTAAAAATTAATAATGAATAGAAATGTGCATGCCCAACGTGAGGATAGGCATGTCGTTCGGCAAGCAATGGTGTCGGCCACGGCGCTTGGACTGCTGGGGGGCAGCCCAGCGACGTGCCACAGAACCGAACCGAATGTGTGTTAGTAATGTATAGAGCTTAAAGTTATATAGCATGAGAATAAAAATAAAATAAACCCAAAAACGGTTGAGTGAAAGTAATATCTAAAACTATATTATGGTTGATGTCACTCTCATCAACGTTCAAGCTGCACGCTCAAATAAACAAATCAATTATTAGGCCAATTTAATTATTATTCTTAACATTAAAATATACTTAATTTTAGTATTGGACTCTAAGTTTGATTAATCTATCATTATTCTAAATAGAGGTGTGATCTTACCACATTGGAATGAGAGCGATGAGGAAACGATGAGGAAACGGAGGCCATTAGGTATTGAATCCAAATTCAAAATTTTGGGCATGAGTTGTTACAAAAGAATATTGTAGATGAAATTGGACCGATGAAGCTAAAGCTAGGAATAAACTATGTAATGCATGTATTTTATTGTACATTTATTGTCTGCTATGTTGATATGACCATGTTTAGGCCTCGTGAAACACCATGATGCACCATGTAGGATAAACATGAATTAAATCTCCGGTGTATTGTGTACGAACGCATACACCCAGAACCAGACCAAGTGTTGAAAAGTACTGTACATCCAACTTTGCCAGAAATGGGTCGTGTGGGCGTGTATGCATTTTCCAACCCCCAATAGCAGAACCACTTTAACCGTTTTCTTTTCCTAAATTTAAGTCCATAAAAATATTTTAAAAATAATTTTTGGAACAAACATATGAGATGTATATAACAAGAAAAATATAGTTACAACAAATTGGTAAACTAAAATAAAAAAAGAAACAAAAATATTTGAATAATTTGTGATGTTCCACGCGGATTGAGCAATAATTATGCGGAACAGCCAACTGTGCTTAACTTTCTTTGAAAATCAATCGTCTAAGCCATTCATTATAAAATTAAATTGTTTGCTTCAAACTCAATTAAATTTCAATATCTTCTTTACTACATTTCTTGATTTATCCATTTGGGATTCATGGGCAATTACGTTTCTTGTACACTTTCCACTCCAATCGGCCGGAAACCCTCAAGTTTTCCAGCGACGACGGTGGTTTTCCCAAGCGGGGAAGTTCGCCAGTTTCACGAACCGGTCAAGGCGGCGGAGCTGATGTTCGAGATGCCCAGTTTCTTCGTCGTGAATTCTCAGTCGGTTCGTGTTGGACGGAGATTTTCGGCTCTGATGGCGGATGAGGATCTGGAGATGGGGAATTTGTACGTTATGTTTCCGATGAAGAAGGTGAATTCGGTGGTATCAGTGACGGATATGGGGGCGCTGCTCCTCGCTGCCGAGCGAGTCTCCGGCAGGAAGAAGCGGCGGATCGTCGGCGGTGGGGAATCTAATGTTCGTGTTTGCCCTAAGGTGGAAGCAGAGGAGTCGGAGATGAAGTTGAAAATGGATGGTGATGTGGAGGGGTTTTCGCCGGTGCCGGAATTGGCTCATCGGAGGACTATGTGCAGGTTGAAGAAGCCATTGTTGGAGACCATAGTTGAAGAACCGATGTGTTCATGATGATTGGGGAATTGAGGGGAAATGAAATTTGAAAGCATTTGATTTGTTCTTTGTTTAGATTGGGATTTTTTTATTTTTTTTATTTTCTCAAAATCCAAATGAAATTTTAAACCCGAGTAAAATACTTTTAATTATAAACTATCCCTATAAGTTAACACGAGCATCATACTCATTTAGGTGCGGTCTTTTTTTTAATTATATTTATTATTTTCTTGCGGTACACTCACTCCCGTTACGAGAATGAAATGACGCCCCAGCTTGATTCGAGACCAAGACTCCTTACAACTCGCACCAGGTTGGTCTAGTAATTAGGGGTCGGCCTGAGATTGATTGAAAAGACAGCCCAGTCGCCCCTCCCCCCTAGCCGCCTACCTACTCGTGCTCGTAGCTCGATCGGAGCTAATATATTTAACCGCCCAAGCCCACCACCAATCGAGGTTTCCACACTTTTGGGTGTCCAACATCCTCACTAGCACACTGAAATGACAACCCAACAAGCCCACCACTCACTGAGATTTCCACATCCTTGGGAGCCCAACTGTCATCACTGGCACACTGGGTTACCACTCAATGTCTGGTTTTGTCCAAACCCACTATTAACAGAGGTTCCCACATCCTTGAAAGCCCATAGTTCTAGCTAGTACACCTTTTGGTGTCTAGCTTTGAAACCATCCCCTGCACAACCTCTTTGCTAGCACACCGCCTAGTGTTTGGGTTTGATATCATTTGTAACCCGCCCAACGTTCTAGCTAGTACACCTTTTGGTGTCTAGCTTTGAAACCATCCCCTGCACAACCTCTTTGCTAGTCTAGTGTCTGGGTTTGATATCATTTGTAGCTCGCCCAACGTTCTAGCTAGTACACCTTTTGGTGTCTAGCTTTGAAACCATCCCCTGCACAACCTCTTTGCTAGCACACAGCTTAGTGTCTGGCTTTGATATCATTTGTAGCCCACCACTAATATAATTCCACTATTTTGTTCGATAGATTCAAACCACTTCTTATACCAACAAATTGTTAGCATTAATCTCGAGACAATAATATTATTTATTTATATAAAGTTCTGATGTCATTATCATCCAACACTAAACAAAATTAAAAACCTTAAACCAAAAGAATAAGAGCTTTATACACTCTTCTTATCCGTAGATAATCATAGAAATTCAAAAATTACGATAGAGTGACTTCTTAATGACGTTCTTAAGAAGCACGTGAGTGAGAAAAAAAAAACGTGTAGAAAAAGAATTATTGTCGGAATTATTAGTGAATTTCCTTACCAGATCTTTTAAACACCTTTTGTATGAATACAAGAAAAATAATAAGAAGAGCAACTCCAGCTAAAAGTCCAACGATTATCGCAAACGTCTTCTCCCCGTCGTCATTAGATTTATCTGTTCGAATCAAACAAACCAATTCATCATTGTTCATAAAGAACTCAAACAAAATGAAAGAAATTGGGTTACCATTATGATTGTCAGCCAACACCGGAGGAGGCCTACGAGTGTTGTATCTCACATAGCACTTCCCCAAGAACATATCCCCATAATCCCCCGTCGCACACACGCTCTTCACCCGCCCAATTGCCTCGCCCACACACTCCTGACACTCGCTCCTACTCAAATCCCCCACGCACTGCGCCACGCCACGCACGTTCCCTGCCCCACCCACTCTGTACGCCCCACTTGACCCAACTAGCGCCGCCAGAACAGCGTCCCGCTGCGCCATTGCTTCCCCCTCATACCCAATTGACGGCCCGCAATTCTTCAGCACTACTGTCTTGTCCTCCACTCCCAGGAAGGTGGAGTTGTCGTACTTGACGTAGCAGCCATCCAGCTGGAGGGCGGCGCCGCATTTGTTGGAGCAGAGGGTCCCGAGTTGGGTGAGGGCGTGGGCTATGCAATTGGCGCAATCGGGCATGGAGAGGTCACCGCGACACTGGTAGAGACCGTAGAGGGTGTCCTGTGGGAATGAGGATTGGATGGTGTAGTTGTTGTAGGAGGCATAGGTGGCGGAGTTGAGGAGGGAGGTTAGGAGGGAGTTGAGATTTGAGTGGTAGGCGGAGGTTGGGGAGTATTGGAGATGAGTGCAGCCGCTGTAGATGACGGTGTCGATGGCGGAGAGGGACGGGAGAGGGAAAAGGGAGAGAGAGAGGAGGAGGAGGAGAGGGCGGCTCAGGCTCATTTTTTGGGGTATGGTAATTGGTGAAGTTGAGATTCAGGCTATGAATGGCGGCTGAAATTTGTAGAATGCTGCGTGGTGCTGCGTGCTTGGTTTGCTTGGTGGAACATAGCTTTATCTTATTTCTGGTTCACATTATGAGTTGAGATAGAGATTAGAGAGGGCGTTGCTCGTATACCGCCTGTCTTAACTCTAATACCATTTGTAATTGTTTTATAGTTGGGACCCATCTTCGCTCGCACAAATCTTGGTGTCTGACTTTGATACCATTTATAATAGTCTAATAGTTGAGGTCTGTCTTCGCTCATACATCGTTTAGTGTCTAGTTTTGGTACCATTTATAATGGTCCAATAGCTAGTGCCCGTCTTTGCTTGCATTACTATGGGTCAGTTACATAAGCCGCCAGCCTCACACAATTTTAATGCCTTCATTGTAACTTAGTCAACTTTTTTGGAGCTCAATTATTTTCAACATTATTATTATTATTATTATTCTAAAGAAAAATAAATAAATAAAGGAAAGAAAAGAAAAGCACATATAAAAAAGATGTCCCGTGACATATTGTTACACAAGAAAACAATGGAATTAAAGTTGTTTGGATTATGTGATGCAAAATGTAAAGTTTTTTTTTATTTTTTTTTTATTTTTTATGGAATCTAATTATAAATATAATAATATTATTAAGTCCGACACAAATTGAATATGTCAAGAATTTATTAGATACAAAATTAAAATTTTAAAAATTTAGTCGGTAACTCTCCTAGCTTATTTGATATTACTAAAGCACTGTCGATACGATAGATGATCTCCGAATCGTTTGAGAAATCAAGAAACTCAATAGCAACCACTATAACATGTGGCCAATATACATGATGTCCTATCTACAAGGACAACACCTTTGGAAGGTCATAGTCGAACATAAAATTACGCTTCTAGAGAGGGATGTTGATGGCACCTTGCGCAAATTGAGAATTTGCTCTAAAGACTACGATTGTAGAAGAAATGTTAGAGCACATACAAGATGACAAACAAGATGACAAGACACGAAAAAAAATATGAGATACATTCATGATGCTTTTCTTAAAGAAAAACGATTCGAAACTATAAGTTCTGAAGAACGAGATTTAAGTAATCTTTTCTTTCTTAAGAAATATTGTTTGATTGTAAAATTGAAGAAGAATAATCATTACACTTTGGGAGAGTCTGATTGAAACTCTAAAAACAAAAAAACAGAGATTCTGATAAGAATCAAATCTCTGTTCTTCGGAGAAAAAAAGGTTTCTATTACCTCAATCAGACATCCTGCGGTGTATTTTTTGTTCTGTTCTTGAGCTGCATGATTCTACAACTAGAAAATCTCTTCCCTTTCGTCTTCACTTTAATAATCTTCCTAATTAACCATCTCCTTTTCACTACTCTTCTTCTCTGCAACTGTAGCCTTTCACCAAATTCTTATTTACAAGAAAACCGTAACGACAAGAGACGAAACACGACCTCCTCCATCGCCGCTAGCTCAACGAGCACGGCATCACTTTTTCAATCTGTTGCTTCTTTTGCGACGAAAGCCGTCCCACCAATGCATCCAATGCTTCCTTCATCCACCAATGCTGGCAAACCTCTCGAGCTTCGTGAGCGCTCATCTATAATAAGTAAAAGATTCGAGTACCAAAAAGTATTAGATGAGTTTTTAACAGGGAGTTCGTGACGGTATATGGATTGGGGAAGTGAGTATTTACCCAAACTCGTTGTCGAAAATTCTTTTCGGGCCAAAACTCAAGCTGCTCCTTGACAAGCAATGGAAACATGTATCCTTCATAGAAAGTGTCATAGGTTTTGCTCTTGAAACTCCAACTTCCTAATTCACTCTGCAAACCATAGTTCGAGTCGAGAATTCACACCATCAAACCATAAGATCCGAAACAAGAAACAAGAAACAAGAAACAAGAAACAGTTGACTGTTTTTCGGATTGCATCAAATAAGGTAAACTTAGAAAAAAACAGCTCCTGCTGGATCTAGAAGAAAATCTTCAAAAGTCAACAAAAAAAACTAGAAACAGCAAATTTTCGCCCTCGAAAAAGTCCAACCCATCATGTCCGATTTCATATTCTAAATCAAAACTCTTGTGTACTGTAACAGCTCAAGTCCACCGCTAACAGATATTGTCCTATTTGGACTTTCGCTTATGGGCTTTCCCTCAAGATTTTAAAACGCATCTACTAGTGAGCAGATATTGTCCTCTTTAGACTTTCCTCAAGATTTTTAAAACGTGTATGTTATGGAGAGGTTTTCACACCCTTATATATAAAGAATGTTTAATTCCCCACTCCAACCAACGTAGGATCTCACAAGTACGAATCACCCCAAGTTCACTGCTAGCAGATATTGTCCTCTTTGGACTTTCCCTTCCGAGTTTCCCCCAAGATTCTAAAACGCATCTATTAGGGAGAGGTCTCCACACACTTCTAAAGAATACTTCGTTCCCCTCTCCAAACAATGTAGGATCTCACACGTACAAATCATCGTAAACCGACTCTAAACGTTCCAAATCTTACCAAAACCACATAAACCTCGAGCTGAATTCAAGAAACAAAAAAAGAGAGATACAAACCTGAACAATTCCCCTAACACCAGCTTCCTCCAGAGTTTCTCTTGAAGCAGCCTCAGTAATAGATTCATCAGTTTCCCAACCACCCTGTAAATTTTTTCATTAAAACCTTAACTTTCTGCACATAATGAATACATACATATATATATATACATATAATGAATATGTAATGTTTACCTTTGGGAACAACATGCCTTTCCCTTTCTGTGAGCTGATCACAAGAACTTCCAATTCCTCTATATTATCCAAAGCACTTTTGTTAGTAGTTTTGTACCTATAAGGAATGCATCTGCAAAATTTACCAACAAAAAATTGCTTTAAATTTGGGTTTTTATTGGTAGCCACATGCAGTAGACTAAGACCCATCGATTTCTGAAGGGACCCATAAAGAAAAGGATTAATCCAACCCAATCAATCAATGAATCATCCAAGTTCTATCCAAAACTGTGTTTCTTCCAATATAATTTCAAAAGGGTTTTAGGGGAACAAACCAAAATTCAAAGAAATCAACAAGAACAGCACAGATAACCCCAATTTCTCCATGAAACAGAGGTAATTACCCGACAACTTGGCGGCGACCCCTGATATCGTAACGCTGCAAATGCCTTCCAGTACGAGAAACCAAACCAGCAGCAGCAGCAACCATGTTGTGTTGAGAAACCTCGGCGATAATGTGTGTTGTTGTGGGTGGGGTTTGGAATCGAAACAGAAATTGCTTAAAAAGGAAGAAACAGGCAAGAACATATGGGAAAGGAACAAAAATTAACTTTCCAAAAGAGAAGAAAACAAGCAAAAAGAAAATAGAGATAAGAGTTGGGATGAAGAATTGGGGCAATTCTGTAATTAAACAACCATTGTGGATTCAGATTTTGTGGACATCCCTTGAACAAACACCGCATCCCAAATGGTCCCTTTTATAATAGCCAAATCCAATTTAAGGGGTAACTTCAATTCTTTTCAATACTCGGTCATGAACTAGAAATTTATTAGAACATGTGTAAATTGATTAGCGTGTTGCTATCTCTTTTCTTTGTTCGTGTAGATTTTTTTAGATATTTTATCTTTTTCTCTGTTGAACGAGATTCCCTCGTAGGTGTAAAGTTAAGTTACAAGTTGTAATCTCTAATACATATTTGGTTGACAATTCAAAAGCAAGAATTCGAAAACAAGAAAATTAATGAAGAATACATCCGTACTAAATTACATCATCTGATACAATTTAAATATAATTTTTTTTAAATAATAAAGGTTGAATGTTTAAAATATTGAGTAAATAATCTCCGTTAGATTAGATATGCATACGCATACAATAAGTACGACGATGGAGCTCAAAATCTATTTCGAAACACAGGTGGAATAGCTCGGGATTGAAATCTTGTATCCTAGTAATTAATTTTTTTTTTTTTTTCATAGGTCTAATTTATTTATTTAATATGTAATAGAGTATTGTTTATTTATTTTGGTAAGGTGTGAATGATAAATGGGCATTAAGAAGCCAAAGTCAAATTAGTAAATATTGTCTGATTTGGCTCGTTATGTATCGCCGTCAGTCTCATGATTGCAGTCACCCGGTGATTAGCTCTGATACCATTTATAACAGCTCAAATCCACCACTAGTGGATATTGTCATTATGTATTACCGTAAGACTCACAATTTTAAAATATGTCTACTAGAGAGATATTTCGACAGTAAATGTGGGATCTCACAAGTTTTTAGGACTAAGCCACAAAAGTAAATGTGCACCTTGTTAGTATATGCAGTAACTATCAAAAGTTTTTTCCTTATTTAAGCATCACAAACTATGTTCTTAGATCTCACATCTATTGGAGAGAGAAACGAAACATTCTTTGCAAGGACATGAAAACCTCTCTCTAGTAAACGCGTTCTAAAACATACAATATCTATAAGTGGCGAACTTGAACTATTATAAATGGTATCATAGCTATGCACTAGGCAATGTGCCTGACGCAGGGTCTCAAGAGGGGTGGATTGTTAGATCTCATATTGGTTGGAGAGCGGAACAAAGCATTCCTTAAATAAGTGTTTAATTGAAAAACATAAAAAAAAAAAACTGAATAATTATGGAACGGAACCTAACCATTGTATACGTATTTTCATTTTTAGAAGTTTAAAAGATTATTGGTTACGTGTTAGCGAGAAAGATGAACGTTTATATACAAATAAAGTGAATGCTTAGTAAGATATTCACTAGAAGGGAATTGAATGAATTAGGTAAAACCAAACATAGGGTTTATTAATTTGATGATATTGTGGAGTTAATATGGAACCTCCATGGCATGCGCCAATCAAAGCTTACACCTTTCTTCTTCCTATAAATACAATATCCAAAAAGAGAAGCCTTTAAAACATTTAAAACATTAAGAGGAAAAAGTTATCAAATTCATACGCATCTTTTCGTAATATTCTTTTACTTATATCAAATTTAAATGTTCGGTGTTCGGTGTTTGGTGTCTTGTGCTATTCATATTAACGTTCTATGGAGCTAGTTTAAATGTAAATAAGTTAGGTTGTTTGACCTATTTAAGAATGTTTATATGACTCGATCATTCAAACAATCTAGACTATCTAACTCAAATTGTAAGAGTTGGGTTAAATTATTTTTCGGTCTAAGTTGAGTTGTATGAGATCCCATGTCGGTTGGTGAGGAGAAGAAAGAATTCTTTTATAAGGGTGTGGAAACCTCTCTCTAGCAGACGCGAGAAAGAACGCGTAGATTGGGGGTCTCATATCGATTGGAGAGTGGAACGAGTGGCACAAAGAACGCTCGGCCTTGAAGAGAAGTGGACTGTAAGATCCCACATCAGTTAGGGAAGAGAACGAATCATTTTTTATAAGTGTGTGGAAAGCAGTGGATTTGAATTTTATATCAGGTAGATTTGTGGGTTAAAACTTCTTTTAGTCAAGTACACTCGACAAACTCGAAAATAAGATTCACAACCAAACTCAACCTACTTCAAACGTTTATAACAGAGATCGTGAATAATAACAAGATTTTAATAATTTTTAGATTTATTATTATTATTATTATTATTGAATAAATTATTGGTAATATAATATTAATTTTGGGGCATTATTCTGGAAGTTTTTAATTAAATAAACAAAGTGTTTAAATGGAAACGGGAGAGAATCTGAGTTACATGTTCTGATTCGGTTGGCTTCTAATTTGGACGGCACCGTCACTCCTTACGTTATATATACCATTTTCTATTTATTAATTATTTATTTTTTCTATTTTCCTCCTAATAATATATTTTATATTTCAATTATTACTTAATTATTTACTCAAAATTTTAAAATCATTAATGTATTGGCCTGCAAATCGTATTAATTTTACTTTTTGTTGGGATTTAATTAGTGGGAATCTTTCCATATTAGATTCCTATTTTATACGAATAAATTATAATTATTTAAAAAATGCTATAAAATTGATTTATTTTTTTTAATTAATTTTTTTTCTCCAATTAAATATATAAAATTAACTTCACTCATTCAAAAATAAATTAAGTAAATATATACCATTTTCAATAATATCCTTAAATTAAAAAAATCTCAAAAAAATCTATTAATTTTAGATAGAAATAATTAATATTTTATTTTAAAATACTATTGTTTTAAAAAATACTCTTGAACTATGTTTAAAATTTTACGAGTAGGATTAACACTATTTACCTTTATAAAAAAAAAATTTAAAATTCTCATCAATTTACCGATTATCTTCAAAATGTTAATTTTAAAAGTTCACGAGTATTTTTGAAATGTGATACTAAGAGTATTTGTTAAAAAAAAAAAAAATTAAAAGTTTAAACGTATTTTAAAATTTTTAAAAAGATTTAAAGGTATTTTTTAAGTTTGTAAAAAATTTTAAAAATATTGATGAAATTTTCACTTTTTTTTAAGTTAAAAATATATTTTTTAACCGTTTTGAAAGTAAAATAATATTTTTAAAATTAAACCATTTTCATCCAAAAACTTTTCTTATGAAAAAAAATATATTTTTTAAGATTTTTTAAAGTTTAGGGATATTATGGAAAGTGTAGAATTTTTATTAATTTAATTTTTTTTATTATTGTTATTATTATTATTATTATTTTCCATTTATAGCATAATGTTCAATTATCCGAATAATAAGACATTATTTAACAAATAGTTGAGTAATTTTTAGAAACTATTTCCTTTTTTAGTATTTAAGAAAGAAAAAATGGTTTTTTTTTTTAACGGCGACTTTCATATTTAAATACGTTCTGAAATAGTTGGAATATTTATGTTTAAAATATATATATAATATTTATAATCCAATAATTTTTCTATAAAAAAATTATCTTCTTAATTATTGTTCAATAGTCCACGTTAATAAATTCGATCACTACAAGAAATAGAAAATTCTAAATCAATTAATCAAAAAATTGTAGAAATAGGGTCAACTTTAATGGAAAAATAAATTAAGAAAATTATAAATAATAAATATGAGTGGAATTAACCATATAAGAAATTTAAATATACATTACATAAAATTTTTAATTATTAATTACCAAAAAAAAACATTATTTTCACTAACTTATTTCCAACACGTTATAAACATTTATTTGAAAGCATATTTAATTTATTTTTAGATGCTTTCTCTTTTAAAATTTGGGGAAAGGATAATGAATTGGAATCAAACTTTAATGTTAAAATTTGATTAAATTTAACATAAATTCTAGAACGGAAAATATTCTATTTTTAGTTCAATAAATCTACTTTTCCAAATGTGTATATAATTTTTTAATTTTTTTAATTTTAAAATATTGGAAAAAATAGCATTATTTTTATTATTACTTTTTTTTTTATTCTGTTCAAATTAATGAGTCATCAAATTTAGCCGTTGAAAACCCATTGCTTTTGAGTTAAGTTATATAAAATATCTCGAAACACGTTTTAATTTTTTTTTTTTTTTAATTTTAGTTTTTTTTAGAATTTTACGAATATATTTTGCGTTGAAATAAATTATAGACATAAGTTAATCTTTTGTATGATTGAAAATTGAAATAAAGCTGCGTGAATCCAATTAGTTAAATCAAGTCTAAAAATTGTAGTGATTTAGAATCTAAAAGTTAAGGAGAGGAGGTTGAAGCTCGTTGTGGCTGATCCATAGCTGACTCATGAGTCGTGATTGGTTAACCTATGGATCGGCTAAGATCCAATTGAACCGACATACATTTAGAATGGTTATGGACGAATGTGGTAATTAGATGGATCAATTTTTAATATGATTAACAATACAAATGCTTAATAATTTACTTAAGATCATTAATCGAGTAATTAGTAATTAATTAAAAATTCATAAATTTAAAAAATAAAAAACAATTGAACTCTATCTAAAAAAATTATGCCTAAAAAAATACTGAGTTAAATTACTTAAATTTTATTTGATTACGTTAAGTATGTTCATAATGTGATTGATCTATTTAAATTGTTTAACCAATTTGGTAATTTACATCAAAGTAATTTATATGGTAATTGAGAAATTTAGATAAATGAGATTAATCTAATTTATTCGAGTAATATAAAACTTTATTACAAAAAAAAATTAATGGAATAAAGACATATGTCAAGATATTTTTATTATCTTTACCATCATTTTTAACCTGAGATTTACTTGAGATTTCAGGAAAACTTTTGGACAGATTTCTCATTAAAAACGGTAAAAGAAAAAAAATGTGTCAACATATACTAGGGTCTCCATCATTGACGTGAGATTCAGGTAAAACCTCGAGATGGATTTTGTATTCGAATGCGAATTCATTTAATTTAATTTATTTAAAATTAATTTTAATGAAGTAAATTAGTTGGTTTGTTCAAGTGGTTAAGGGAGAAGACTTGAGATCTTCTGTGCACATAAGTGCGTGTGGGCTCGAACCCCACAGCCAGAGTTGAAAAAATTCTTTAAAAAAGATGTTAATTTTAAAAATAAAAACAAGCCATAAACATGAATGGTCGGCCATATGTTGGGTTTCGGGTTAATGTTTTTAAATCATATCAATGTGGGTTTCTACAACTTTTTTATTTTATTTGTATTTAATGCGAAGATCTTGAGAAGTCAATATAAATCTATTAGTCAATCAATGCATGTGCATATGAAAATAGGTTTTTATTTTATATTATTGTTTACGACTTTACGTCACGGCAAAGGTAAGTAGGCTTAAGAAAGATCGAGCCTTTAAATTTTCAACATTAGTGTTAAACACCGCACATAATTAGCTCCACCGTCATTTTTTAGAAATCGTTTAATTGAAAATTTTTGTTAAGATATAATAATTAATAATCATCTTAGTTTTACTTTTCTTTTCTCTAGGGATAGAAATTATTTATAAAATATTTATATTATGTTATAGAACTATGTTATATGATACATGAACTTTCATATGTCACGCCAGGTAAATTATATTAATATGTTCGCTCGAGAATTAAAAGGTATATTTTTAAAAAATATATATTAAAAAAAAGACCATTAAGAAATGAAAGAAATGCACCACAAATGTTCAACCAGCCAGATGTGAAAGGCCATAAATGTTTGATTCCGGCAGCACACTTGATTTGTCTGTTCATATTTGACCCACATACTTCCATTCCAATATCAAGGACCCCATCCTATAAAGGGCTTCTACCATTGAACTGGTAAAATTATAATGAGCAAGCAACTAAGATATCGTATAATTCAATTACTTGTGCATTCATTTTACAAGCCAAGCATATAATTTTTCTAACTCCTCTATGTACAATAATACAACTGATGCTACATATTAATCCAATAATATATGCCTTACATACAACATTGGAGAAAACTATCATGGTAACGAGGATTAGTATTCCTCCGTCACGTCGGAATCTTCACCATCATCGTCTTCATTATCATCCTCGTCTTTGTCTTCGTGTTCCTCGTCAACTACATTGTTGAGCTTAAGTGCCCTATTTGTAATTTTAGTCAATGCCAAAGTTTTGCTTGCTCTCTGTGAGCGTGTACCGGTTGTCCCATTAACATGGGGGATAGAGGTGGGCGACATGGCTTCATCGGAAGATGAAGACTCGAGATGCCTGTGAATGAGAATGAATGAAATTGGAATAAGTGTTGCTTAGGACTACTATTTTGATAGGCCTTGCCCAACAATTTTTATTTATAATCAGATAACACGGTGCCAAACGAAGTTTAGAGGGCCTCCCACCTCTCCCAATTCTTAGAAGAATGCGAAAATAGAAAATAGCAAAAAGATGTTAGAATTCACGGAACTCCACAATAAAAATATATGTGATGAAGCAATAGATAAGCTGTATGGACTCGTTACGCAGTGAATATAACTTAATAAAGTGTTTGTTTGTTTGGAGACCTTTTGAACTGTTGCCAAACCAAGAAGCAGTAGGCGGATAAGTAAAAACATTTACCTAAAATTAGATGAGTTTGATCCTCTTCAAGATCTGGTTGTTTGTCAATAGCTGTGAGATGCTCCCCCATCCGCTTTAACTCCTTGACAAGACCCTTCTCTGATGATGCAGTTTCAACCACATAACATAGTAGTCTTCTCATTATCCTAATGGCACCTTGTTCCGATGGGCGAGAATGAAGCAACACAAGTACCCGACACAAAGCAGAAACATATGACTTTTGTGCAGGCGTCTTCTTCCCACAGAAGCTTGCAACCTTAAAGAAGTATCAATCAAATGTTAACAAGTCAGAAAACCCCAAAATTCAACTAGACGCAACAGGAAAAGAAAAAGAAAAAAAGAGTTGAAACATCATATCTCATTACTTATTTCAAGAATTACTGCACTTTGGCACGATTTTTTACAATTTTAGGCAATAATGAAAAAAAAAAGTAAAAGAAAAACAAAGATGGTAAGCAAATAGACAGAATATTCAAGTTAGTACAATTCAAAATTATTCAACTAAGAACTTCAGTCAGGTGACACTCATAACTTAAATATTATGAAGCACGAGATAAAGAAAATAGAGCAGAGTATCTAAAACAAACATAATTCAATAATGATGAGACATTAAGATTTGATTTGAGATCAAATTCATGACCCAAAGAGAGATTGAAAGAAAGGGAGGCAAAGCTCACTGGGTGACAGATGAGAGTGAGAGAAGAGTAGTAGCAGAAAGGTATAGAGCGGGAGCGAGACAAAGGGACAGAGTGCAAGGGATATAGAAAGATAATAGTGTGAGAGACAGACAGACAGACAGTAATAGGAGAGAGCAGGAACATACATAGTTTATACTTGACCTAGCTACAAGCCTACATTAAACTGATTCCTCCTCGAGACTAGACCCCCTAGATGGATGGAACAAGTATACAATATCTTGAAGAAGGCTATTGATCCCACCCAACTCCATCAGTTTACACTTTTGCTTAAGATAACGCAGTTAGGAATAATTTGAACTATCAATCAGCGCTCAAGATTAGGCATTAAACACATCGAAATCCACATGCATGCACCTCAAACAAGCTAAAATTACCTCTACGGCTGTTCGAATGGCAAGTGCCTCTTCGCTGCATTCAAGAGGAGGTTTTCTAATACTGTCAGAGACTTCCTGATTTCCCAAACACCCATCTTCATCCTTCCTTTCAGTATCATTCACATATAAAGGAGCCTGCATCATATGCAGCATAAAACGTGATGCTTGGACCACAAGTTTGCGCATGTTTCCCACCTCAACAGCAGAACCTCCAATATTACCGTTAATGCCTGGCCACATTGAACGCATAACTGGGACAAAAGCCTCAGATATCCACCTCTGCATACCACTTAGAAGAGAAATTAAAATTTCAAGCCTTTCATGTGTAAACGATATTCATTTGAAGTTAAACTTCCCTAACCTTATGAGCAACTGCAAGGGATGGATAATGCTCAAAGAATACAGAGAGGCATTGTTTCAACCTGATTTAAGACAAGATCAATTGACGTCTTAAATGTTTTTAAATTTTAAGGGTAAATTGTTGGAAAATATAGCTGCAGAAGGAACCACCTCTCGAAGTCTTTCTCGCTTGAAAAATAAATATTTACAAGCTTGCTTAGGAGCGGAGGATGCAGAGATGCTGGTATGCTTGGATAGTTTGCACCCAGAAGAAGAACCTTAGCAAAGCCCTCTGCAACAATGGTTTGAACGGACTCAATTTCATTGGTTGCTGAAGAGCTGTACCTTTCTCTGTTGTCAAGTCCAGAGTATAAAAGATCAAGTGAACCCACAGTCAAACTGTCATCTGCTTCAGATAAATTTATAGAACTAAAAGATATCTTATCAAATGAAGACTGCAGGGAGTGGTCTTGTTCCAGAGCCTTGTCAACCTCCTGGGGACCATGCCACATTACAAGATCAAATAATGCCTTGCAGGCCATTATGCTTACTGGGGTCAGCCCCTTAGTGAAGGAATGCCTCAACTGTCTAGAACTTTCTCATTTGGTCTTTTATCTAGCAATCCAAAGAGGCCAAGACAACGGATGCTAATTCTCTGAACATCTAAATGAACATGTTTTGCCTGCAATACAAAATGAATAAAGTTGGTGAATTGGATAAATGAGTTCTGAACTAGATGACGTCAAAATATGAATCAAGCTACTGGAGGCTATTGCAAGGATTGGCATCTTCCTAAGCTGCATATGTCACCACTCATGCAATTGTTGCAAACATGTCAGACTTTCACAAAAAGAGAGAAGCTTTACCTAGATGAACACTACATCTCATAATTCAACTAATTTCCAATTAGTGATTTTTTCCCCTTCTATGTATGTAGTGATAGTAATAGCCCAAAGTGAATTATATTTAGATGTTAGGCTAATCCACAAAGTAGAACATGTCCCAGCCAACCATTGTTTGATTGGATCAATTACAGGCAATATGTCAAATAAAAAAAAGAAAGAAAAGAAAAAATATATATAAATAAAATGGGGCAGCGATCATATACTGAAATAGGCAACCATGGTTCAAAGTTGCAGTATGCAATAACAGTTGTCATTATCGAGCAATATGCAAAATCAAACCGCTGTCTACAAAATGTACTTTACCCCTGGAAGCAATATCGACTCCAGTAGTTGAGCAAGTCCTCTGTCTTTTCCATTAATAAAATTCAATGATTTTGCATTTTCCAGAAGAAGACTTGCCACGGCGAGACAGTGCATCCACCGCATACAATTTGCAGTTCTCTCTCTGCATGGTCGAGCAAGTTCTTTAACCACCTCAAGAACAATTTCTTCAAATTCACCCGCAGCAGCATGGACTTTCTTTACCAATCCAGACACAGCAATTGCCCAATCTCTATCTCCTCGAAGATTGATTCCAACCCCAAGAACAACCAAGTTCCCATCATCGTCCACTTCATGATCTGGCAACATATGCAACACTTCCTGCAGAAATGCACCAGCAACCTTCCTATTTGCAGCATCAGAAAAATCGAGCATCGTACCAAGCAAAAGTAGCTGTCTTGATGCAAATCGGTAGCTGGAACCTGAAAGTACAGTCATTTTAGGTTGCTTAGCAACAAAAAATGTACAATATTCTTGATTTATGAAAAAATCTTACCAGCACTAATGTGAGCTTTGACTAAGCCTACATAATCAGAAATTGTGGCAGGAAATTTTTTCTCTAAAAGGTCATTTCTATCAGATGCTTCGGCTGCATATACTGCTGCTTCAGCACCCATGGAAGCTGCAGCATCAGAACCTTTTGCCTACAGAAGAGCAGTGTACAAATATCAAATTAGCAACTGATATAAAGTCTGGTATGCTGTCATATCTTCGCGACAACTCTTGCCGAGGATGGCTCAATTTCAGGAACTTTATTAAGTTCGTGCATTTGAAGTGTTGAAACACAAATCCAACAAAACAGGGAGGGTATTGAGAGTGAGCGTTGATAAATAAATATAATAATAACAAAGATAAAGATAAAATAAAATAGCAATGGCATTTGAGGGTTAAATTAAAATTTAGTTTGTAAACTTTCATCACAATATATAACTGACCTCTAAACTTTAAAGAGTTATAATTACATAAAATTCCATCAAGCCTACAAATCTCTAGAAGAATTTTTCACCCAATATTTACAGCTAGTACACATAGAGATTGAGTACGTCAAACACGAATCAAGAAATAAATGATGGGATATGCAACAGATATACTTACCTGTGCTTCTGTATGAATATGCTTACAAATGGTTCTCCAGTAAAGAGAAACTTCCGGCTCCATTAATTGTATTCTTGAAGTGCAATGTAGTGAGTCTCCTAATATCAAGAATGGGAACCATCATGTTACTACAACATGCAAAAACCCAACTCACAGCACAATGAGATTCTTTAATCCAGTTTAATGAGAAAATAAGCCGGGCAGCAATTGAAAGGTTGAAATCACATGAGAAAATTTACTATTCATAAAAATAATAACAATAAATGTTTTTAAATCACACACACTAGGGCGATTCCTCCAGCGAATACAACCACTTCAATAAGCAACGAATTGGAAACATTTACTACAGAGTTGTAACGGGATTCTAATTCAATGTATTCACATGAAGCCAAAAAGTAGAAATAAAAATAAAAATAAAAATAATTCCAGTGAGCCTTATTGTTTCCTGAGTTTGAGAAAATAACTCCTGTGAGCCATCTAACTATCAAATGATAGGCATATGCCAGGAAATCGCGAGAATGATACATTGTTAGATTGGTTAATATGGAACCCATGGAAAGGTACAATTAGAAATATAAAAACCGTAAGCATTTGGATACTGGACAATCAACAATACACTAACCTTCTATCCCAGAGCTGGAAGTTAATATATAATGCTGGATACTTTCATCACCATGCAGTTTCAACAAACGAACTCCTAATAAAGTCCCCATAACAGATTCACCAACTCGTTCATAGGTTTCAACATCAAGATACTTGAGCAATTCTACAGGATTTCCATGGAAGCATTTATTAAGCCACTCGTCCGACATCAATTTTAAACACTCCTTTGAAACAGCTTCAGAACGATCAGCAAGTCCTCTCTGTAAAATTATCGTTCTTTGTTTGATGCTATTAAGAAAAGCAGACACACAAGCATTTAAGTAATATAATTCTTGCACAGATTAGTAAGGGAGAGTAGAGTGTTAAAGGTGTCTAAGATGGGGGGAAAAATCCCCATCCAACCTGGATCCTTATTCGAAGGGTATAAGAAAATAAAGGGTCTTCCTATATAGATTAGGATTATAATAAGAACAAGAATAAAGGAAAAGAGGGGGAGCTCTTTTCAGTCCACTGCATTCCTTTATTCTCTCTGAGAAGAAATTAACTGAAGGGGGTTGCATGATTAAATATAAGACATAAGAAATTCTGTAAAGCTTTTCCCTCTAATCAAATTTACCTGAGACTTTGAAGCGGAAACTTATTAGCCAATACACAATATGCCGCTTCGCGAACAGACTCACTCACATCCAAGGTGCAATCGATTATCGCTTCCAAAGTCGCATTAGAAGGTGGTAATGATAGTAAAACTGTCTTCATGACCTCCTGCAAACAATTAAATTGAGCCACTGGCATTGAAGGCACTCTTCTTGATATAATTATAACAATTTGGTAAATGTGAAACAAGATTGAATATATTATTTAAAGGAATCAACGAATTATGAATGCGCAAAGTGCAACCAACATGATACATCCTTAGCCATCAAGGAGGGAAGAGTAGATGAATAGCCACAGGCAACCAAACAGATGCTTAAAGTTTTCTTTATAGGCAAAAAGTAATGGGAAACACATCAAAGTGACAAAAACAGAAGGTCTATATGTGGGGTTAGGTTTGTATGTATACCAAAACAATTTAAGCCAGTTAAAAATACTCACCGCATTTTGTTCCACAGGGATCATCTCAAGAAATAAATTGAGGATGTCACTGTTTTCAATATCATTTGCGAAACGTGAAAGAGCACGAACTGCAAACATACGGATTAAAGGAACCTTGTCCAGCACTCGTATCTTCATGTGGTCTATAACTTCATCCCAGAGTTCATTGCTGACTTCTGCATCATCTGGTAGCCGCATGATGATCTATAAATCGTATGATGATCTATAAATCGTAATCTCAGTCAACAATAAAGTTACAATGAAAATTAGCAACGTTGAAATTCAACTACAGCCTACCACCAGTCAACTAGGAGTTGTATGAATAAATAATCAGTAAAGTAAATCGAATAATTAAATACAGTTACCATGAACAAGAGAATCAGACACTTGAAATATGAAAACATATCTGGATTCCCGAATTTACTTTAGCAGTAACAAAACTATCCAAAATACTCAAAGTCCTCGGGTAGACTTCCCAATTTTAGTTTGCAGATTCTCAGACAAAATCTAGCATATCGATTAAAGCAGCAAGTAGACAAGGAAATGAAATGTAACACAGCCAGATAGAAATTTCAAATTTCCAAATTATTTCACAATCGTGCCAATCAATTGCATTGAGCTCTAGACAGCTAACATATAGCAAGGAATAACTCGATCATACGATCTATTAAAACAAAAAACAAAAGCAAACCTAACGCCACATCAATTTTCCGACTCCGAACAAGAAACTACAACGTAATTTAGGATCACACCTCAGAAACAATCTGGCACGCGCGGAACCTGACAGACTTATTTGCAGCGCCAGATGCAACGAGAAGAAACTTCAGAAACTCATCCAAGAACTCATCAGCATGCGAAGCAAAATTGGGGTCTCTAGCAGTAGCTAAAAGGGAAATGAAGCGGACAACACGCTCAGCAGAGGAAATTCTGCGGTTGAAACTGAAGAGAGGGGTCAGAGTTTTGGAAAACGCGGTAAAGAACTCCAAAGGAGACATGGATTTCGAACGTAGAGCGCATAGCTCCTTGAGCTTGCGGTTGTGCGTGGCGTTTGATGACCGAACTTCGTCGAGGATTTTCGCTATTTTCTGAGACAATGGATCTTGTGCTTCTATAATTTCTCCCGCCATAGGCGATTCTCTCTTAGAAACTCCCATGATCTACCCTTACCCTCCCCAGTGAAAGTAGAGCTGCCGAGATTTCATGTTTTGAATTCGAGCGGGAGCGGGAGCTGGAGCGGGAGCTGGAGCATAGAGCTGACGGCTTCATGGGCCGCACTCTTATTGGGCCTTCGTATTATGTAATGGGCTAGAGTCGTAGTGTAAATCTCAGTTTCATTATTGGGCTGATTTCAGGCCCAAAACTCTTGGCCCAACTTCCAGCTAAACTATGTTCCTAGAATTTTGATCTAGGTCATAAAACAAACGTTGACCAAGTCCATGAAAAAGGGAGGCTACAAGGTGATAAAGAAAGCAATTGAAAGTTTGGACTCCAGACGGGAACGAGCATCATTGTGAGATCGATTGAGGAGAAGAACGAAACATTTGTTAGGAGGGTGTGGTAACCTTTCCGTAACATACGCGTTTTAAAACCTTGAGGAAAAGCCCAAAGAGGACAATATCTGCTAGCGATGAGCTTGAGACATTACAAATGGTATCAATGTCAAACACTAGGACCCAAAAAGGACAATATCTGTTAGCGGTGGGCTTGGGTCATTACAAATGGTATCAAATTCAAACATCAGACAATGTGCCAACAAGAAAGCTGAGCCCTAAAGGGAAGTGGACACGATGTAATATGCTAACAAGGACATTAGATCCAAAAGGGGTGGATTGAGGGTCTCACATCGATTGAAAAATGAAACAAGTGCTAACAAGGACGTTGAGCTTTGAAGGTTGGGAAGAAGAACGAAACATTGTTTATAAAAGGTATAGAAACCTCTCCCTAACAGACATGTTTTAAAAAACTAAAGAGAACTGCTAACAGTGAGCTTATGCGACATGGAACATTTCCAAATAGGGAAACAACCCTAAATAATAATTTCATTGGACAACTAAAATATTCAGACACATTTTTATTACAACAACATTTATAATTTTTAAAATAGGATAAAAAAAAAAAAAAAAGTGAGAGGAACTTGTCGGGGGCAGAGATTTTGAAAGGGAGCTAACATGTGAGTGTTCTTTAATGGTATGAAACCGTGTCTAGTTATTGTCAACTCCTTTAGTTCATGCCACTTCTAGTAGATCAGGATTCATTGTCAACTCCTAATAGCAAAAATTATTGTAGGGTTCAAAAAACTAGATTAATCCATCTCATCCATATGATATGATTTGAGTTGAATTATAAATTTATTTAAGTTGGATTAATTCTGAGTTCTTAAAAATTAGATGAGTTCTAACACTGATTTTCACAACTAGTATAATATTGTCCACTTTGATCATCAAACCTGTTTGATGATTGAGATACTAAGAAAAGTTAAACCCAAATGTGAATAGGGTTTTAAGATTGAGAAAAGTAAAGTCTTTAAAACCCAATAGCGTGGAACATCGTATCCCCATAAATTCCAACCAATCTTCCCACACCCCTTAATTCTTTCTCCCATGCCATTACCATCCTTCTCCTTCAACCCCTTCTCCGACCGGAAGAGCCCAACGCCGACACAACCCACTGTCGCCGCCGACGACTTAGCGGCGGAGAAGGCGGCGGCCTGGGCATGGTACCATCATGGGTCCGGCTCTGAATCCAAGCCCATGCGGGAATTCGGCCTCACCAGGCCCGTCTCTGTCCCCAAGCCCTCTCGCTACAGGCTCGAGGCCATACGAATCGCCCAAACTTTCATTCAGGACAATTCACAAACACCTTGTCTGCATAATTCTCTTCTCGACAGCTACGAAGTCGCGAGCATTTCTAGGGGCATATCTGATTTATTAGACCCCACTGATCGTAACAATTTTAGCCTTAGGAGCTTTGAATCTGAAATTTTGGATCTGGGCCGAGAAATTGAGAGGAAATCCACTAAGCCCAAGAAATTTGGTGGCTTTTGGCGCAGACGGTCGGTGATGTGCGGCAAAATTGAGGATGTGGCTATTGGCAGCCTCGTCCGGTCGCCGGGAAAACAACAGCCAAGGCCAACGTGACGGTGGTGCACCGCCATACTCGATGGTCTGTAAGTTTAGTTCATAATCGGTCCGTAAATTGTAATTTTTCATCCCTTAAATCCGCAAATTTAACTGTAATATCTAATTTCTTCTTAAATTAAAAATAAAAATTTGAAAATTTATTTAGTCTAACAACAGTAAATTTGGATTATTTGAATTGTTATTTTTTTTTTATTGATAGTCACGCTGGCAGGAATTAATGAGCTTACTAGTAGTTGGTATAGGTCATTCAATTGCGTATTTACTTATTACACAATTTGAGACATATCATATGCTAAATGTAATGATGAATATTATCCCTTTAAAATGGGCCTACCATTGATAAATTATGAATGTGATAGGTTATTTGTGGTTGTCTTTAACAAGAATTTTAGGAATTTAATAGCAGATGCATAAATCTTACCCTTTTTATATTTCTCATCGGAATCATATTTAATATTTCAAATTAAATTAATTTTTTTTTTAAAAAAATGGATTGATTTATGATTCTCGGATTCTAACCCTAAAATAGTATGCATAAAAAATAATAAATTTTAAAAATGGTTATAATATCCACACAATTAATTCTAAATTCTAAAAATAAGAACTAAAATAAAAACATAAGGTACAAATTAGTCATGCATTGTTGGCTGTTTCGTTTAATTTCCACGTAAGATGGGTTGGAAACACTCCACGAAGCAATTTAATGGCAGCTCACCTGTGACTTACGAGTTGTTGTCCATATAAACCATGGGATAAAGATCACAGTGTTGAGCAACCAACAATGGGTTCTGAGATGGTGATACACAAAGGCGGCTGCCACTGCAAGAGAATAAGATGGGAGGTGGAAGCAGCGGCCAGTGTGACAGCTTGGGAGTGCAATTGTTCGGACTGCTACATGAGAGGCAACACCCATTTCACTGTGCCGGCTGCAAGGTTCAAGCTTTTAGGAGACTCGGACAAGTTCGTTTCCACCTACACTTTTGGGACTCATATTGCCAAGCACACGTTTTGCAAAGTTTGTGGGATCACTTCCTTTTACCATTCGCGATCAACCCCAGATGGGGTTTCACTCAGTTTTAGATGTGTTCATCCTGGGACGTTGGCCCATGTTGAGGTTAAGAAGTTTGATGGCAAAAATTGGGAGGCAGCTCATCGTCGTCGACGATGAACGATGAACCTGTTGTGGGAGAGGGAGTATCTATACTTCTGAATCTATAGGATGAGTATTTTAAGCCTACACCCATTTGGTATTTGATACCCCTTCTTGAAACGACGTTGACCTTGTATAAATAAATTCTATAAATGGGTGACTCCCAACAACTTAGCCTCTCAAAATTTAATAAGATTGGAAAAGCATAGCCCCCTGGCATGCATTTACCAACATTTCCACCACCCTTTATAAATTTGTGTCTATGCCCTGTGACGCACAACCCCCTTGCCCTCCCAACTCTCACCTTGTAATAATATATTAAACCTATGCTTAAGTTAGGTCTTCATCAAATGTCTTTGTTTCTTCCTTCTTTTTATTCATCCATTAACGATAGATACATCGTTCAAGAACACAATTTCACAATTATAGATATAGATAGAATCCCTATTTAAATAAAGAATAGGCGGGTCACTAACAAAAAAAAAAAAAAATCGGATAAAGATGAAGAATGCTTCGTATCTTCATGTATAGAAATAACTCATTCTGCCTAAGTTGTAGCCATTTCGGAACCGACCTAAGTTGTAGCCATTTGGGAACCGACCTCTAAAAGTTGTGTACCCACAAATTCATTTTAGTTGAAGGTTTAATTAGAGGGTGGAAGAATGAGTCAATGCATTGTCATCCTAATTAATTAGCCTTCTTCCATGGCTTCTATCAATTCTATAAGCTATCAAACCTTATCTACTTTTCATCATTAATTTAAAATTATTGGTAAACATTTTCAAGCTCATCGCGAATAGATATGGTCCTATTTAGACTTTTAGGAGAGGTTTCCACATCTTATAAAGAATGTTTTGTACTCGTTCTAACAAATATGGGATCTCACAATCCACTCCCTTTCAATGTCTAACGTCTTCACTAACACTCGTTCCCCTCTCCAATTAATGTGGGATCTCACTAGAAATATGTTAGAATGTTGGATGAAAAGTCGACAGTGTGATAACCAAGACACTAATCTAGATTAAGCCTAAATGAACGATGTTGTGTCATGTCAACTTTTCAACTAACATTGTAACAAATTTGCTACTATAAATGTAGTTTTGAAATGTTTATAAAAAGTCAAAGTTAATATTGCAACTTTTGAAAGAACAAGAATATTTGTGAGGCTCGAGTAAAGATGGATACATGAATGAACCGAACCACATCTAAATAATAATGATCCTAAGGATAGAATAACTAAAAAAAGACTTAACTAATAAGGTGTACCTTTCTTTTCGACGACTTAATCATAGAGACTTTAAAATTAAGAGAAATACTATGTTCGATGACCTACTGATAATTTTTCTAGAAAACATGTGAGTGAAAACAAAACTTGTGTTGATTAGTGGTGTTAAGAATATTTAGTAATAAATTATAGTTTACCATATATATTATATTTGATATTTTATTATAAGGCAAATATCTAATATTTGCGTTATTATGATAGGTATCTTTCCATTTATTGTTATTTCCATTTATTAGTATTTCCACATCCTTGTAATTCATTTGATTATAAATAAGATAACTTTCACACTATTTAAGTGTGGTGGATTAATCAAACATTCACAAGTGGGAATAGTCTTCACTCTTAAAAGCGAAAAATAAGTAACACAGCCATGTCACAGAGGATGCAAGAAAATGTTGGATTTTGAACCGAGCTTCCAACAATAATTCAATTATGGGGCGAATTTGGTTCAAAAGTGGAGCCGCTTAACCTAAGCCACAAGGAGTGTTCATTATTATTTATGAACAGTAGTGGGTATGGCCGTCTAAAGTAAATTAGAATGCCCATTTTCTTAATTAATCTTCCACTAATTACAATCAACGTGTAATTATAATACGT